GTTAAATTAAATTTCAGTCCTTTACTGTTGTCTAATATTTCAGATGTTTCCTACAACATACTTAAACAAAATTTCAAAAACAATCGTAACATTATCTGAAATGTTTCACCAGTGCAATTTATACAGAACAGTGAATGGCAAAAGTCCCAAGTGTGGTTCAACAGCTGTTGCTCCTCTACTGTGGGCTGAGTAGAGGCAGTTGTATCCATGGTGACCTATATGACTTAGTGAGAGTGGGAACTGCGGGATTCTCACAGAGGTTAATGACAGAGCAAACGCTGGAAAGCCAGCTTTCATCAAGCATTTGGCCTCAAATGGTTTTTTCTTTTTTTAAAAAAACAAAAGATTCACTTTTTCTAACTCCTTATTTTGTAAAGCAGACAAACTTCATATTGTGCTTAACAAAAGAGCTATATACCTAAAAACTAACTCGGAAAAAAAGGGCTTACAAAACAAACTATATTTCACTTTTGTCCTATATTTTAATGTAAAACGTGCATTATGATTTTATATTTATTCAAATACTGCATTCTGCTTCTTCCTGCCAAAAGGTTTAAGGTAGACTAGAACAAAGGCATATGAATAAAGTCTATAAAATAGGTGTAAGAGTCTTATACATTATGAGTGGAGAAAAGAAGTGCATTAGAAAAAGAAATATGACTCTGCAGTTTCTTTCAGTGGGCCCTATGACACTAAAAAGCATTAATAAACTTCATACCTTGGTATAAGTTGGAGGATTAAAAACCTCACCATCATGTAGGTGATTTCGATTTGGGGAATGAACCTGGGATTTGGGGGCTGGAGGGGAGGAGGAACCTATTGTATATTCACTTCTGCATTGAAAATATCAGGCATTGGGTGTATATCTGGTTTGAAAAGGTTTCTGTCATAACTTTGTATCTGGAAAAGATGCCGGTTGTCAAATAAAACAGAGAATCAAGTTTTTATGGGGGCCTTATTGGTGCCATTTCAGTGGTGCTTTTCATAAGTGCCTCTGGCTTCTGCATCAGTGGGGGAAAAATCATGACATGAGCTCCACCTCCAGGATCCATGTCAAAGTAAGTTAATACATAGAAAATAAATCAACACTGTCTATTTTTAAAAGACCTTTGCCATGCACAATACAGACTACTACCAGAGGATTGGCCTGGAGCTCCTGATAGTGCCTTAGCCCCAGGGTCTTCATGGGGTAATTCCTGAGGGAATGGTGCCAATGGATAGAGGCCCAGGCATTCTGCTCTCCTGCAGACAGTAGAGGTTTCTAAAACTCCGAAAGAAGCAGCAGTAATCAGACATTGAAGAACATCGGCTGTAATTAAAGATTTCTTAGATTTATTGCCTTTTAGTACTTTAAAGATTCATTAAACTGGGGAATCTAGACCTATTATAAGCAATTCGTAACTTCTCATTTTTGTAGGACTGTTATAATGGAGCACACTTTACTTGTTCTTTGAAATAAGATTAGTTGATTTTTATGTTTTAGTTACTGAAATTTCTTAATTCCTCATACAAGTGACAAAGAAATAACTTCCAAGAAAAAATGTGAATTTCAAAGAGGTCATATATCAAGTTTTGCTTATCTTTTATTGACTTGTATGTATTTACTATAATATTCACTCTACAAATTACAAAGTCTGTTTTCTTGAGCTAGCAAAGCAAAAAGATCACCATGTATATTGGGGAGGGCTATGACTGAATGTAAAGATGCATGCAACTTAACTGAAAATGCTGTATGTCCTCTTCTTTGATTATGTGCAATGCGTCTTTTAACTTATTATGAGAACTGTCTCAATATAAAAATATTTTTCTTACACATATGTGAATGAGATGATAAATGTGTTTCCTCACGCACTAATGAATCCGTCATACTGGTGGTCCATGTGGATGACATAAAGGTCATGCCGATGTTGAGAGAAGAGGTTGTCATGGTTAATATGAGTGGTCCCAGGTCTGAAGGAGTGGCTCTTCATTCTCCAGGACAGCTACTGGACTTGTATCTTATGAGAGCTTTGAGTAGCAGGAAGAATGTAGGCTTTGAAGTCACTAACTTGGCCTCAAATGCTGGTTCCTTCACTTCCTAGTTGGCTACAACTTCAAGCAAGCTACTTGACCTTTTTGATCCTCAGTTTTCTTATCTGTGAAGTGGAGATCAGAATACTGCAGAGAGGATTATCTGGTACATAGAAAGCAGTTATCAAAGAGATAGTCTTTCCCCCCACTATGACTTCCTGGTAGTATATGGAAAGTCCTAATATTTTCACTGGGGTTTTCTCAGGCCCATGGTTCTGGACTTCATGGCTGGAAGGACTATATTGACATATCTAGTCTTTTAGTCTGGTCTAGGTATTTTCAGGACTGCTAGAACTTGCTTAGTTCTTATTGGTTGTCTTTTAGTCTAATTCTAGATTTCAAGTCATTCCAATTTATAAGTGCCCTTCTTCTAAGATTTGTAGCTGCTTGGTCTGGACCTGTTCTGATTTCTGCTGTAAAATGGAATTCTAGGATCCTTGAGGATGAGAAGTTCTACCATGCAGACAGTGACAGAACCATTTTTCTTTATCAGATTGATTATTTTATTTAGTCACAGGACTGCAAAAGTCTTCTGTCCATAAATATGTATTGAGCGCTTACTCTATTCCAGCCATAGTTCTGGGAGCTAGAGATACAGCAATGAATAAAATCGCAAGGTCTTTAGGCACACGGAGATTGCATTCTACATTGCAGTGAGGCAGATAGGGGGAAAGTAAAACAGAATATGTAAGTAAACAATTCCATGGAAAAGACAGTTTGTTCACAGTGCTAAAATCCTGTGAGAAGACAAAACACAATAATACGAGTGACATGGTATGTGTTGAGGGTTGTAGGGGCAACATGAGATTTGTAGTTAGAGAGTCCTTTCTGATGTAGTAACATTTGAATTTCCTGCTTGTTACTATTATTCACATAATAATATTGTCTAGTTGAAAGATAAAACATTTTGTAAGTTATGTGCTGTACTTTCTGGCTTCTGTTTCTTTTTTTTTTTTTTAGATCACTGACCTTGAATGTTTGCTAATAAAGTAATACTAATTTTAATATTTGTAAAAATAATTATCATAATGGTATACAAATCTGTAGGATGAGGAACTTATAAATGACATTAATATCCTATAACAAGATGAGTGAGATAGAGGCAATTTTACATTTTTCAGAGGACAACCCAAGAATGGGACTTTTATTAGAGTAACAAAGAAAAATGAAGCACTGACAACTGTAAATGACAGAAGTCAAATGTAGTAATAGTTGAATATCAAAGAAAAAAGTGATAGCCTAAAATAAGATATATTTCTGAGGATAGTAATTAAAAATATTTCCTATATAGCGTAGAAGGGAATTCTCTGAACTAAAGGAGATAGAAGACACGTATGGTTGTTTTAAGTCTGGGTACATTTTATTTTCCTCGTGTAGTCTGTGTGTTATAAAGGCATATCCGTTGAAAAGGAAACTTTTGTTGGGTTACCCCTCCTGTCTTTTAAAGATCGGGGGAAAAAGAAGCCTTTGCTGTTATAGATGCAGTTCTCAGAATCTCACTAGAGGGTGGTGTTGGTTCTAAAACCGGAGGTCACTGCTACTCTCTACAGTACATTCATTACTAGGCTGCACTTATGTTTAAAGAAAAGGTAAAGTCAAGCCTTCTCAGTCTTCTCTAGTAGTTGGTAAATGTCAAATCTGAAACCTCCCAAGTGCCCCTGCCAGTTCTGGCTGGTTGTAGCCCAGAGGAGACAGATAAAGTAGTGAAGAGATTATCGGAGGAGTTGGGTGGCGGATTCTAATTTTGGCTCCCGCACCAACTAGTAGACAAGGCTCCCTGGGCCTTTGTCTCAACTGTAAAACAAAAATGATGTCCTAGTTGATCCCTAAATCCCCATACATCCCTACAATTATGAGATTCAAACCAAATTGTTGGTCTAAAATGCTGAATAATTTCTCATGCTCTTAGCCAGACTAAGGAACAAGTAAAACCTCAAATTATTAAATTATTAATAATTAAGATACTATGTAATGTTATAAGTGAGGTTTAATACAGATTCTAATATCAAAGAAGTTTAAAATTAAAATGCCAAGTCTTTTGTCTTGCCAGGGAGCCTTAGAGCCATGGTTTGTATCTGAGCATTCTGTGGATAATTTCAGTGACTTAGATCCAAAGATCTCTCCCTTCTTGGTTGCTAGCTTACTGGAAATGAGTAAAATATGTTTTCATATAGGATTATATAGAGAAAGGAGGCTGAACCATTGTCAAATAGGAATGTTTTAGGATAGAGACTAAACTCCCCACCTGCATTTATCTGACTTGGATTGTAGCTGTGCTTTGTTAAGAGTCAGTCTTCGGAGGGATTTAGTTGGTTCAGTTCCTTTCACCCTCATGTCTTTTCATCTGACTCCTCTTCCTTGTTATATTTACTCACATTGCAGAATGAACTTAGAATCCTTTCCTGGAACCCGAAGCAAATTATGGAACCCCAAGATCCCAGTAAGCCTTAGTTTATCTCTGCAAGGACTTGACTTCTAAGAATTGGCCTGAGAGGCTGCAATTAGCCTCTGACCACGCGAAGCTTCACCCTGTCACCCCAAACGCTGGGACATTCATACTCAATACCTCCTTTCCTCCAAATTGCTTTGTTTGGCAGAAGGTTTCTTTCTCCCTCTTCCTTCCCCCCAACCTGGATTTTGTTGCATTTCAGGCTCGTTTAGCAAATCTAAACTTCCTAAAATATGCACGGAGCGCCTCCGGGTTCGCACACGCGCGCGCGCGCGCACACCCTGGCTCGAGTACACCAGCCCCGCTGGGCCGGCTCCCAGTTGCAGAACACATTCCATTCTTCGCGCTGAGGCACACCCCTCCGCAGTGAGGATTGGTCGGGCCGAGCCCCCTCGGCGAGGCGAGGCTCCTAAGAGGCCCAGACGCCTGCCAATCCCCACGGGCTGTCAAAACAAGTCTCCCTCCCTGTCACAACAGAGCTGAGTGGAGGCCGCCGCCGCCGCCGCCGCCGCACTTCCTGGGACCGCTGCGCCGCAGTCCGCGGGCAGGTGGCGGGTGCGCCCGGCTGCAGTCGCCCGGCTCTGGCCCCCATCGGGCCGCGGGCGTCCGGGCTCCAGAGGCCGCCTGGCTGGGCGCCCGGTGCCTTTTGTCTGGCGCAGAGCCGGCGTTTGCATCACATTTCGGATACCTCCCTCTCTTTTTTCGCCTCTCCTTCTTACTCCCGCCACCGTCCCCCCGCCGGACTGCTAGCCTCCTAGACCAAAGCCCGAGGACGTCTCTGCCCGAGCGATGTCCCCTCTCCAGAAAGTTGCCGCCGCCGCCGCCGCCACAGCCGCCGCTGGGCGGTGAAACAAAGTCTGGCGGGGCCGCCTCCCTGTGCAGGAGCGCACCAGTGCCTAGCGGCTGGACTCCGCTGCCGGGCGTCCCGCCTTCTCCCGGGGAGCCCGAAACGCGCCAGGCCATGGCCGAGGGCGCGGCCGGCAGGGAGGATCCGGCGCCGCCTGACGCGGCGGGGGGCGAAGACGACCCCCGAGTGGGCCCGGATGCCGCCGGGGACTGCGTGGCGGCGGCCTCTGGGGGCCGGATGAGGGACCGTCGCAGCGGGGTCGCACTGCCGGGCACCGCGGGGACCCCAGCGGACAGCGAGGCGGGCCTCCTGGAGGCGGCACGGGCGACCCCTCGGCGCAGCAGCATCATCAAGGTAAACGAAGCCGCGCCGCACCGGGAGCGTGGCTGTGGGTGATGGGCGGGTCGGGGACCCAGGCAGGATGTGCGGTGTCCGGAGGCATCCAGCCTCGGCATTGTTTTCTCCCATCTCCTTCAACGCCAAACCTTCCTTCCTCATCCGGAGGTTCCCAGACTTAGCTGTCAGCCGTGAGACGCACAAGTGACTTCCCCCCCCCTCCCCCCGACAGCAGAGGAAAAGTTCCGCTTTGCGTCTTTGCGTTCTGATGGATGCTTTCCCTCATTTTCTCTGCAAGCTTCACTAAACCGTTGATGGAGGGAGGAAGGGAGAACTCAGGATAAATGCAGACCCACCGGATGGTTGTGCATTGCTTTCCAGCGAAGGGTGAGCTTTTCCCGTACAATGAAGAAAATGCACAGCTTACTCTCAAGTGAAAAAAAAAAAAATCCCCTCTAGACTTAAATGATCCCGAAATTCCAAGACATGTGAACTTTCCCGGTAGACAGGTAGAGTTTTGAGTGGACCCTGCACCACAGTAAAGAGCAATGCAAGAGCCCAGAGTTTTTGCACTGCAGAAAGCACAACCGGAAAGCAATCAATCCTCCAAGCATTATCCCTTGTCCTTGTGGTTACCACCACATCCAGGGAAAACGCTTCCTGACCCGCTAATCACCTGGCAGAATTTCTCTCCATCTATTTGGCAAGGAATTTGTAAACCTTTTCCCTCCCCTTTCTCTTTCCATCTTCCTTCCACTTAGTGCTTGTTTCTTCTATTTGAGATTTCCTCTTTTGGGAGCATGACTTTGGGGTAAGGTTATTTGGGTAAGAACCCTCGCATAGGCTCTGGAAAAGGGCCTCAGTGTAAATGCATGTGAGTAATCAATCATATGCATGTCAAATTAAAATTGATTTTGGTGGAGCAGTCAGTATAAAACGATATATATGTATGTACATATGTAAGTATATATATGAATGACAATGAAAGATGGACTTTGACTTACTATTGAATTTATTGGGTTCACTAATATATTCAAAAGCTCTGTTCAGGGTTAAGCGGCATAACCAGTCCATCGTGCATGTTCCAAACTCCCAGTACCAGCTTAGGTAGACTGACCACAGAATGTGGCTCCAGTATAGTCCTTTTCCCAACACTGACACATGGAAGTTTAAAATCAGTGGAGAAGTTTCTATAATATAGAAAGCAGAGTGGGTGGTAATTACAAATGACTTGGAGTAGTTTCTGTTATGTTGTGGCTTTTTGATTATGTGACAGGAGTGTTCTATTCTGGGTGTGAATTTGGACAAAAGGAAATTACTATTTTGTTTTTAAACCACAGGTCAGAAGGCATACTGTTCTGAAACTTAAAAAACATCACAATTAGGAAACACATATATTTTGGATTCTACGATATGATACTACGTGGTGTCCTGTGTATGTAAAACAGGCACCACAAGAGACTTTAAAATATATGACAATAAAGAGCAAAAGGCTCTATAATGTTGTAAAAAACAAAAGTCATGGAATATAAGGAATATACAAATTTTTGCAACTGAGTTTGCCACTTTGGAATTGTACTATGCTGGTTTATATTCTCCAAAGGGTCGTTGCTGAGTAATGGTGCCTCTTTTGTTTTGAAGTTTCTTTCTGTGACGAAAAAGAAGGGAGACAACAGAGTATTAACTTGATTTTCCCCCATTTAATAGTGAATGCAATTAACATTTGGTAAATGGCCTTTAAAATGAAATATATTAGAAAATAAAGTGAATTATTATGTTAGGTTTGTACTGAAAAAGTAACACATACATATAATTTTAAAAAATCAATTGTGGCAAAGGAGTGTGAAGGAAAGACCCTCAGACACTCCACATTCCCACTTACGTAGTCCACCCTCACAGATGTTAACACTTTCTTATGTATGCTTCCAAAATATTCCATGCATATGTAAGCATATATATCTATATGTGTCTATGATGAACTATAGCAGCTCCTGATTGATAAAAAAAAATTTGACTAGAGTTTTACAAGCCTCATAGCTTTAAACATTTTTGAAGCCTAGAGGGTAGTCTAAGGTCGTTGTGATGAACAAACTAATCTTCAAGGATAATCTGGTAGGTCTTTGGTGGGCAGCAGTCATTGGGGTCTGTTCCCAGAGGCCTTAACGCGCTTCTAAGTGGAAAAAAAGGCAGGTGGTAGGCTCTGTTCCACTCCTTCTCTGAAATCAAGAAACCTTTCTGTTGACGTTCTTGAATCTGCTGCCCCGTGGTTTTTTCCCTTTAGGAGAGTAAAAATGAGTTTCCAAAAAAAGTCTAGATCATATAAGAAATACATAGCACATGTTCTATATTGAGAGAAAACGCATTTTTCACAGTTTTGCCAAGAGTTTTTTTAATTTGGAATTGAAATGTACACAAAAAGAAAAGCTTTAGTACATTTTATATCAATTAAAATATTAAATGCTGTTCCAAATAGCTGTAGTGCAGTAATAATTGATATTCATAATGCTGAGCCACTGAAAGGTTGTGAATCATCAAATATTAAATTCTTTTCAGCTCAATTTAAGGTATTGTTTCAGAATAGTGCTATCCTGCCAGAAAACAGACTGTCTTGTATATTAATAAAAAGAATGTTGTCAGTAAATTTGCCCTCCCTAATTTGTGAAAACATGTGTTTAGTTGAGAAAACAATTTCCTTCTGAGCTGAGGAAAACAATGACAACATTTATCTGTATGCATCTTCAGAAATTCTTTCTACTGTCATTGTGTTTCTTCCCCCTATATAACCAATCCTAGCTTTAAAAACATTCAATGTGAGAATTAAACTAAGTTTTAAAAAATCTGTCTACTTTTTTGTATGTTTTTCTGTGTGATTGTTTCAATAGCATTGACATTGATAAATGCTGCATGTTTTTTGGTAAGTGCATTGTTATATACCACAATAATGCAATTGAATCCATTTTAATTTCTTCTTGATGACTTGTGGTTTGAAATGACAAGTTGGATACTGCAGTATTGATAATCCCTAACAGTTGCTTACTATTCTGCATTTAAATATATTTCCAATTAAGAAAAAAGGCCATTAATTTATCTGGTACTTGATATCAAACTTATAGTATTTAAAATATTTAACATTTTAGATTATAGCTTATAGCCATATAACTCTGTAATGTTTTCAAAATAGGAAGCAGCATAGCTTATTTACTATATTAGATGGTGGGAACTGAGCTACATATGTATTTTAAAAATAGCAGTTGATTTTTCTTCCATTGTGTGTAATACATTGACGGGTTCTACTTTTTTCGAGTTCCTTTGGTTCTACTTAAGAACAAATTCTCTAGGCAAGGAAGAATAGAAATTGTCACTTGGATCTCATGGACATGGGTGTTGAGGATGAAGATGGGAGTTGGGAATGAGGTGCTGAGACCTGCACTGGAGCAGCTACTTGGGTGTTGTTCATGTCTCATTATTTCATATCACGGCAAGTCTTGCTCTATCATGTCATCATGGGCTGGTATGATGAATTTTTGAACTGCAGCCTCAAAGGTGCCCCTTGGGTACTAGTTGACTCCTATCAAGATTATGGCTTTCCTCAGAGGGGCAAGAGGAATGCAGTTCACATTAAGTTTCTACTGCTATGAGTCATATACTAAACTAGGAGCTTTAGTACATTTGTATCACTTAAACCTCACAGAAAACTCTCTAAACTAGGGAAGGGAGGCACAGAGAGCTACTGTTAAAATCTGGAGTGATGACTGAAAGTCACGTCTGCTTAATTTCAGAGTTTGTGCTCTTGGGTGCCATGGCTCTCAGATGCAAGAAGTCCACAATCCACGAAAACTTTCTAGGTTAGAAACAACCTAAACACGTAAGACAGTGACAGAAGAGTATGCATCTTAGGTCCCATGGTTTGTGGGGTAAATTATCTTTTCTCAACCCTCTTTCCTTCAGTTCAGAACATTTGGAGCTTGATGATTCTAGAAAGGGATTGCAACCTTTTCTGTCTTTGGCTATTTTGTTAGGCCTGTGCTGTACTTGAAAAGGCAGAGCAATCTGGCAGGTGTTCTGCTTGGCATCAATATATGGAGCTTACACCCTATTGTTTTACCCCAGGCCCACTTCCCCCATGTCCCTGCAGTCAGTGGAGTTTGTGAAGCATTGCATTCTCTTTTAGGCTGATACGCAGGTGGAAAAAATACCTGGGTCATAGGAATATATATGAATCTAGGGGAGTAAGAAAATGGGGGATCTTCATTTGGAGCTCTGAAAGTGTGTGTGTGTGTGTGTGTGTGTGTCTGTTTTTTTAAATAGGGACAGTTGTGAGGGGAAATTAAATGTGATTAAAAATTAGTTAAACATTTTAGGCACCCTTTGGATTACATAGGCATTTATCAGCATTTATAGATTTTATTCTCTACAAATATGTGTTAAAAGTTCCAAATAACCAACTTATGGATGGATTTTGGAGAAATAACCAGAGGAGCTGGCCAGCCTTTACTTTACCGTAAGGGTTGCTGAGAGTGTGCCCTGGTGTTTTCAGTTGCGGCTATCCTCCCGAGATGTGATTTGGCTGAATGAATGGCATGAACCTCTTAGGTAGATTTGGTCTATGATCCCAGCAACTTCAGTTAGAATGTTACTTTCTCTCAAATTGCCATAGTAACATGGTCACATTTCACCTTAGGAGTGGCTTCTTCTAATTGCAGGGCCTTTCTGATGTGATTTCTTATAGCACCCCTCAAGAAAATGAAAAATAAACTTTAGGTAAACAGCCTTGTCATACTTTGATGAAAGGTTTTTGAAGTGTCTGTTGATTAGTGTTTGCTACTATTATTAGAATTTACAAAATTTGTTTTCTCTTTTGGAAAATATATTAAGGCTAAAAATGTTAGTTAATTACATAGCCATTGAGGGCTTAAACACACATTGTGATTGAGACTGAATAGTGTTTTCCCAACCTTTCCCTTTTTACAATGGAGAAAACAGCTAATTAAATTTTGTACAGTAAAATGTCAATTGAA